CCCCGTGGGGACGGCCGCCGGGCGGCCGCCCGGCCCCCCTGCCTGCGGCACCCCGCGCTCGCCCGCCCTGCGGGACGGCCTGCGTTCCAGGGGCAGCCGGGCGAGCACGTGGGGCAGGGCGGCAGGGGTGGCAAGGGATGGCGGAGGCGTGCGTCCCACGCGTACGCTGTCATTAAGGATGGGCTCGTTCCCGTCAGGGCCTCCTGGGCTGCGCAAGGCCTCCAGCGTCCCGTAAGCCGAGGCCGGGACATCCCAGGAACTGCCTCCAGGCCGCAGTGACTCAGGGGCAAAGCCAAAGCCGTTGCGACACACGCCATTTTCCCACTCGCAGCTACGGCGGGGGCCCAAGGGAAGGGGCTGCCGCGCCAAGACGGGCTGGGCGAGGACAGTGCCGCGGGAAAGAGGCTCTGCCTGCAGCCCCTGCCTGCAGCCGGGGTGCTGACGCCATGGGGGGCACGGCAGGGGAACGGAGACCCCAGAAGGGCCAGCGTGAAGGTGCTGGTGGGGACTGGAGGGTGAGAGAGGGTCTGGATGGGGCTCCCTCGGAAAGGGGAGCGGCACCGTGGCTGCCGGAGCTCACCTGCTTGTGCCCCTGCGAGCTGTGCCCGGGCACCTCCACGCCGGCTGCCGGGCTGCGCTTGGGTCTCTGCAGGAACCTGGCCACCAGCCCGCGGGTGCCCCGGCAGACCTTGAGGTCCCCCAGGGAGCGGGTCGTCGTCTTCGATAGCTGCTGCGTCACCTTCTTGGAGGGCAGCAGCTTGCTCTTCCCCGCCGAGCCGGCCCGGAGCAGCGGGGGGGAGTCACAGTGCGAACGGCGGAGCAGGCAGGCCTCGGAGCACAGCCCTGCGGAGATGCCGCCGTCGGACACCGGGACACTGCTCCCGATGGGACCTGTCCCCACGGGGGTCCTGTCCCCCCTCCCCAGGCAGTGGGAACGGTCCCACCGCGGGTCTCCATCATCCCAGCCCCAGTGGGGCGAGTCTGGTCCCCAAAGGGCTGCAGCAGCACCACCCCCCCCCCGCTCCCCACGTCTCTGCATATCCCCGTACGTCCCAGGGCTCTGACCTGTATCCGCAGAGGAGTTGGACATGGCGTCCTCCAGTGCTTTGGTATAAAGTACTTCCCTGAAATCTGCTGGGAGCAGAAAGCGCGTGCTTAGGCTTTGGCAGCACCCAGCACCGCTGCGCGGCCCCCCCAGCACCAGCCCCGGCAGCACGACCCACCCAGCACCCCCCTTCTCCCAGCCCAGCAGCCCCCGCCTGCTCCCCCCATTCCCCTGGGACAACCGCCCGCCTCGGACCGGCTCTAATCCCGCCAGGCCACGGAGGAACACAGCCAAAACCCGCGGCACCGATCAGACACCGCCGCACGCGCGTCCCCATGCCGTTGCCACCTACCAGCATCACCGGCCGTCAGGACGCCGGGGTCACTGTGCGACCTCACGAGCAGGCGCTGGCTCAGCCCCGGGGCTGGGGACGAGGGGCAGGAGGTCTCGCTGTTGCGCCGTGGGTGGCAGAGGCGGCCGGCGCCGGGCCCCGTGGGGCAGCCGCCCCCGCGCCCCTGCAGCGAGCTCTTCTCCTTGAGCCGCACCTCGGGGAAGCAGGGGCCGACGCAGCGGGCCAGCCCCTCCAGGCGATTGCAGCTGTGGGTGACGGCTCCCCCCACCAAGATGCCGTCGTGGCTGGGCTCCGCCGTGGAGCAGGAGTAGGAGCGCTCCCCCCGCACCCGGGGCTGGGGCGTCTCCTCGAAGGGCCCCTGCAAGCCCAGCGTGGGGCTGCGCGCGTGGTGGCTGCACTGCACGCAGTCCACGCTCAGGCAGTAGTCCGCGCGGCTGCGCTGGATGGAGCGGAAGAGGACGTAGTCCACGGAGCGCATGGAGCCCTGCAGCTCCAGCAGGCACGAGTCCTCTGAGGGGCTGCTGTCCCCGGGGATGTCCATGATCTCGGACATGATCAGGGACCCGCTGTCCATGGACACTGCAAGGAGCGGAGCGGGCGTGGGTGAAGAGCTGCCAGGAAGGGCTGGTCCCCCCGTGGCCCCTCTCCCGTCCCGCCGATGCTGCCAGCCCGAGGCGTGCCGACGGGGCACGCTCACCTTCTCCGCTGAGCACGATGGAGGGGACGCGGTCGCAGGTGCAGGCGTGCGAGCCGTCCGTCAGCTGCGAGTCAAACAGGGTGGCCTGTGGGACGGCGCGGTCAGGGCAGAGGCAGAGCAGGAGTCCGGCCCTGCCTGGCCCTCCCCTGCCCACAGCCCCCCGTCTCCCACCTGGCTGTCGCCCCGCAGCCCCATCACGGTCTCGTAGGAGGGGGGGAAGTCGGTCGGGTAGAGGGGCACGGGGCTGTCCATGGAGCCGTTGTAGGTGATACTGCAGAGGCAAGAGCAGAAAAACCACGTTGGGTGGGATGAGCCCTGCTTGGGGGCAAACGGGCCCCCCGCTCCGGCAGCACGGCCGCCCCGCTCCCAGCCGGGCACCTCTGCGCGTCGGTCTCGGAGCTGCAGGTGTACTCGGGCGGGTAGTAGGGGGGTGGCGGCACCGGGGGCACGAACTCCTCGAAGTCCATCATACTCTGCAGAAAGGTGTCGGGCGGGGACGTGCATTCCAGCGTCACGGAGCTCGAGCGCTGGGGGACCAGCTGCAGGGAGAGGAGGGAGAGCTGGGACCCCCCTGGGCCCCAGGTCCTGCCCTGGCCCCCTGAGGCCCCCCCAGCTTGGGAGCGCTGCTCCCCAGCCCCCCCAGGGCTGGGACTCACCACATGGACAATGTCAAGGGAGAAGATCTGGATGCAGCACACAACAGCAGAGAGCGTGCAGATGATGGTGGAGAAGACGGTCAAGCCGCAGACGCTGAAGAGGAGATCCTGGGGAGGAGCGGGGTGAGGCGCGGCCGCCCGCAGAGCACGGCAGGGTGCACGGCCGCTCCCCAGGGAGCCCCTTCTCCTCCCGGTCCCCTCGGTCCCCCACCTTGAGTGCCACGCGGATGCTCCGGCAGTCGGGGTTGGGGAACATGGTCAGCATCTCGCTCTGCTGGCTGCAGGAGGCGGGCAGAGGCTCCGAGCGGGCCTGGCAGCAGACACACGAGTCCCTCTCCTGGGGACAAGGAACACCGTGAGGGACCTCGGACGCCGCGCTCTCCCCTCGAGAGCCACCGGCGCGTCCCACCACCAGACCGCAGCTCCCCGTGTCCCCAGAGCCCTGCGGCCAGGGACGAGCTGCGCTCAGCTGCCGGGGCGCGCGGGGGCACTGCGGCAGCCCCCGGCCAGCCTCACCCTCTCGCAGGCCTCCAGGGACTTCACCAGCTGCGCGTTCTGGCAGGACAGGATGGACCCGGCGAGGCTCAGCATGACGCCCAGCACCGACAGCAACGTGAAGAAGGTGACCTGCAGCAGGGAGGAGAGGGGCTGCCAGGCAGGCAGGGCTGCGGGGCAGGGAGCCGACGCACGCGGCTGCGCGGCCGGGGGCCCGTGGGGCCGCTTGGTGCCCCCACGCTGCCCTCCCCAGCCTGGCCCCCTCTCTGCAGAGGCGTCCCCTCCCGACACCTACCACCAGCGTGAGCGGCCGCTTCCAGGAGACGATGCCGACGAGCCCAGACAGCGCCAGCTGCGGACGCACAAGCCCGGGGGTGAGGATGGGGAGGGGTCTCTAGCAGGCAGCGGGGCCCAGAGCAGCTCCTGCCCTCGGGCAGAGCCCCCCCGAGCCCCGCGGGCCCTGAGCCGGCCCAGGAGCAGCAGGGCCGGAGGGGCAGCCTCGGTGCCGCAAGCCTGGAGAAACTGCTGATTCAGGGCACTGGGGACTGCGGGCAGCTCCATGGCGGGGAGCGAAACCGGGGCAGGACACGGGCCCAAGGG